GGTGGAGTTGGACTGCGAACTGGCACGGCTGCTGGTGCTGCTGCTGCCGCCGGCGTCACTGCCTAGATCCACCCCATCCTCTCGGTAATCTCCGCGTAACTCAGCCTCATATTAGCACAGGGATGCCCAGCCACCTGCGCGCGCATTTTTCAGACCAGGGGTCTTCGGACACGCACGGACTTTGTTTTAACCATTTTGTGCCAGGCGCGCCCCTGCACCCCGCCCCTAAGATTCTCTCTGGTACTTTTTTTTATTATTATTTTATTTGATTCCACTTCTCTGACATAATTTTATCATAGGTAAGTGTAACAAAACTGTCATTCCCATTGTGCACATAAACCAAACTGGCGAGCATCAGTGCTCTATTGCAAAAACCTTTTAAAAAAGAGAGAAACATTTTTAAATTTCTTATTTACTTTTATTTATTTTTGAGAGTTGTTCGTTTGTTTGTTTTGCTATAGGGTGCATGTGCTCATTGGAGACACAGAGAGAGACAAAGAGAGAGAAAGTGAGAAATCACCCCCCAGAGGGGATGCCACACCACAATCCCTTCCCCTCCATTCTCCTCTTGGGATCTTGGGCACACACGCACACACATGCACCAGTTGTGAGTTTCAAGCCACTGGGTCCGAGATTCAAATTGCAGTCTGCCATGTGGAAGTCCAGCCCCACAACCACTACACCACCTGCTGGTCCCCATTTTTTAATTTTTTGTTTTGTTTTAGAGGTTTTTGCCTTAGGGTATGTGCACTTGCCAGAAAGAGAGACAGAGACAGTGGGAGGGAAAGTGAGAAATCACCCTCTAGGGGGAATGGTCCCGCTGCAGTCCCTTCTCCTTCATTCTCTTCCCAAGATCTCAGGCATGCATGCACACGCGTCTGGTGTGAGTTTCCAGTTACCAGGTTCAAGACTCAAACCTCGGTTCGTTGTTTTTGTTTTTGCCATGTTGTGCATGTGCTCACCAGAGACAGAGAGAGAGAAAAGAGACAGAGACAGAGAGAAGGAAAGTGAGAAATCAACCCCTCCATGGGAGGATGGCAACACTGCAATTCCTTCTCCTGCATTCTCCTTTCAGGATCTTGGGCATGCATATACACGTACCCAGTAACGAGGTAGACCAAGTGAGAATCCAGTGCCTTAACCAACACACCAGTTGCTGACCCCAAGAGAGAACCATTTTTGATATTTCCAGTATCTTTTTCCTCTTCAGTAGAGACTCCTTTTTTTCCTTTTGTTCTTTTTTTTTTTTTTTTTTTTTTTTTTTTTGCTGTAGGGCGAGTGTACTCACCAGAGAGAGAGAGAGACAGAAAGTGAGAAATCACCCCCCAGAGGGGTTGGCCACACCTCAATCCCTTCTCTTCTATTTTCCTCTCAAGATCTTGGGCACACACATACTCCCAGCATGAGTTCTAAGTCAACAAGTTTGGGACTTGAACCATGGTCAACTACATGGGAATCCAGTGACATAACCACTAAACCATCTGATGGTCCCTTCAGTAGAGACTTCTATATCTCAAGGGAAAAAGATATTTGTAGGTATAAACTGAAATAAAACAAACAAAACAAAAAACAACAATGAAATTAAAACCTCACCCATTTATTTTTTTCTTCTACGGGAGTTCAAAGTCCCAAATCCGTCTCGGTGGTCTAAAGTCGAAGTGTTAGTAGGGTGATGCTTTTACTGGAAGTCTGAGAGGTGAATCTGTTTACTTGCTTTTTCTAACTTCTGGAGGATGCCTGTATTCCTTGGTTCCTGGTTTTTGTCATCCAATCTGTCCCTTTTAGACCCTGACCTTACTACCTCCTCCTTACATGGACTTTTACTGTCACACTGGGCCACTCAGGGTAATCTTTCCACCTCTAAACCCTTAGTTACATCTGCTAAGTCCCTTTTGCTATGTAAGGCACCATTTGCAAATTCTGGAGATTCAAACATGGACACTTTGGCAAGATCATTATTCACTCTGCCGCACTCCATCTATTTATTCAAAGGATTTTTTGTGACTCCATTTTCAGATAATGGTGCAGAATAGCCTTTGTATGCTGTTTCCGTTTTGAAAACAGTTTCGTCTCACATAACTTTTAGAAAATATTTTTCAGGGACCAGCATGTGGTGTAACGGTTACGTTGCTAGACTTCCACACAGTCAACCGCTGTTCGAATCCCAAACTTGGTGGCTTAAACCTCACACCGGGTACATGTGTGTGCCCAAGATCCTGAGAGGAGAATAGAGAAGAGATTGCAGCGTGGCAATCCCCCCCGGGGAGATGATCTCTCACTTTCTGTCTCTCCAGCAAGTGCACATACCCTAAATATAGCAAAAATCTCTCTAAAAAAAAAAAAAGAAGAAAAAATTTTCATTCAGCAAGGATTATTTGTTTCTTGTAGCATTTAATAAAAGTGTCTACTACTATTTACAGATGACTGTTTCTGAAACCGAATTTGCTTTAAATAACTAGTATCTGCTTACCTATCACAATTGGTACTAAGCAGCAATGACTGCATTGTTTGTCCAGCACCAGTAGTTAACCCACTAAACAGAGTGAACAGGCTTTCCCCACACATTGGGCACCTCTGCAAATTACGGCATTCAGCTTTGGGATAAAATCTGAAGTCTCATCGGTGCTCGATTTTACAGCTTCTTTAAATAACTTAGATTTCTTTCTTTTTTTTTTTTTTTTGGAGAGGTTTTTTTTTACAGGGCGTGTGCACTTGCTAGAAACACAGAGAAAAACAGACAGAAAGTGAGAAATCACCCCAAGGGGAATGGCCGCTCCACAATCCCTTCTCCTCCATTCTCCTCTTGGGATCTTGGGCACACACACACACACACCCAGCGTGAGTTTAAGCCACCGGGTCTGGGACTCGAACCAGGGTTGACTACGTGAGAGTCCAGCAACATAGCCATTACACCAGCTGCTGGTCCCTAGATTTCTTTTTTCTCCCTTGCGGACACATGACTTTGCATTGCTTTCTGGCCATTTCATATGTGTGTGTGTATGTGTGTGTGTATTTATGTGTGTGTGCATACATAAATATATATATACATATATATATAAATCACTCACACATATATATGTGTGTGTGTGTGTGTGTGTATTATTTATATAGGCTCTCAGCAAGACTATGCCCATCTTAAGAGCTACATCCAGGTCCCCTTCTTTCATATCTCTCAAGAATCTAGCAAAATATTAGACCAGAGAGAATAAGCAAATAGTTTACAGAGTTTAGCTTGAGGGGTGTTTTTGAAAAAAATTCATTGAAAATATTTCAAGTCAGATAATTTCGCAAAAAATCTTCTGACTTCACGTCTCTTAAAAATTTGGACCATGTAAGAGACAGTCTGTGCCAGCATTTCTGCCTGGCAGCCACACACTGGTGTTCAGAAGCAGTGCCCCCTGCCTCGGGCAGAGGTTCCCCAGCTCCATGGTCTCCATCCCATTCCAGACCTGCCCCATAAGCATTTTAGCTTGAGACTCATGTGCTTGCTACCCTTCAGAAATCCTTAGTGGCATCCTAATATATCCATTCATCACTCAAATATTGAGATTGCTTGTTAAACCCAAATTTGGCTCAGGAACTATTTGAGGGCATCTTTACAAAATGTTTGTAATGCGTAAGTTGTTCTTTAGGGTCTTAAATATCAAACTATAATCCATGAACCAGCATGAGTAGCCTCCATCTGGAATTTGTTAAAAGCTCTATTGGGGCCAGCAGGTGGCATGGTAGTTAAGGTGAATCTTACATGGCCGACTGCGCAGTTCGAGTCTCGAAGCTGATGGCTTGAAAAACATACCTGGCCTGTGTGTATGCTATCTGAACCACTTCACCTGCAGGTGCAAACTCTAAAATTCAATCTCCGTTTTGTTTCTTCCCATCCCTGTCCTTCTTCCTCCATCCTTTTACTGGTTTCTTTAGGGAGCCCCTTCTCAATAAATCACTTGCACACAAAAGGTCCATTTCTGGGTAACCAACATAAACATCTATTTTCTTGGCAGTTCCAAGTTATAATATAACTTAAGTGTTTCAACATTACTGCATCTGCCACATCCTCTTTTTAGCCACTCCCTCCCAAAACTCCAACTGTCTACTATCTGTTGGACTCCAATCTGGCCCAGCTTAATAATAATAATCTCTGTAGATGGTTACCTGCTGTTTAGGAAGGATTCTCACATACTTTTCTCACTTTATCTCATTGTTTTGTCTGGCGAGGATAATACTCCTTTCCCTTGAAAGACAGTGAAATGTATCCTTATAGAGCAGAAGTGAATTGCTCGAGTCACACAGTTCAAGAGTAGGAATCTCTCAGTCCACTTGTCATTCATTGTAAAATGGTAATAATGATAAGGATGAGATGATGATCATTTAAGTCAGGCTTTGGGTACAGAGTTAAGGTAATTATACTCTTCTGTTTGTGGTATAGGATCATCATTGGGCCTTTCGGGGTGCATTTTTTTCATTCATTCATTCATTCATTCATTTCCTTTTATCACCTATTTCTCACTTGCATTTCCCTGATCTCTCATTCCTTGATAAACAACTATTCTGATGTACTTAACGTGTATCTTTTATATGAGTTCTTGGAAAGTATGCGTTGTGTATTGGTGCAAGCTTTTTTTAATTAACACAAATTTTACAAGTCATAAAAACCATCTAGTTCTTTTTTTTTTTTTTTAAGAGATTTTTGCTATAGGGAGCGCTCGCCAGGAAAACAGAAAGAGACAGAGCCAGAAAGCGAGAAATCACCCCCCAGGGGGGATGGGCA